AGGGGAGGAGACACTGCACCTCCCCATGGCAGGGGATGTTCAGGCGCTAGAGCTGCAAGCAGTGTGCCCTGGGTGGTGGGGTGTGGAGGCGTCTGGGGAGGTAGAGTTGAGCTACTGGTGTAGGGCTTTGTCAGGAGGACAGTCCAGCTGAAGGGAGTGGTCAGGGCTCAGGTAGGAGAGTGTTCGTTGTGCACAGTGGTGCGACTGCGCGCTCAGCATGCTCCCTGCCTCCTCTGCTGCTGCAGTGGGCCACGTACATTCGGGCCACAGTGCGCAAGGAGCGCGGTCTGCCAGTGCTGGTGGAGCTGCTGCAGTCCGAGACCGACAAGGTGGTGCGTGCTGTCGCCATTGCCTTGCGCAACCTTTCGCTGGACCGACGCAACAAGGACCTCATTGGTGAGGACATAGGTGGGGTTGAGCCTGGATGCCAACAGGGTGGATGGCTCCGGGGGGTTCTGCTGTAGGTGCCGAGGGACCTGTGGTTCAGGCCTTGCTTCCATTGCTCTGTCCCAGCTGCTGGAGCTCCTATCTTCTTCAACCTGTCTGAGCCTAGCCCCCTGTGCACCAGGTCCTTGAGGACTCCCCTCTCCTGAGTCCCGCTTCTTCCCACAAGGGTGGGCAGAGGCATGTCCTAACACCCGACCCTGCCCCTCAGGAAGCTATGCAATGGCAGAGCTCGTGCGGAATGTGCGCAATGCGCAGGCTCCAGCACGACCCGCGGCCCGCTTGGAGGAGGACACTGTGGTGGCTGTGCTCAACACCATCCATGAGATAGTGTCTGACAGCCTGGACAATGCACGCTCACTGCTGCAGGCCCGTGGTGTGCCAGCGCTGGTGGCCCTTGGTGCCTCCAGGTACGTGGTGGTGGGGGATGAGGGAGGTCCAGGGGCAGGGCCCGACACTGACCCCGTCCTGGGCCTGGCCACAGCCAATCAGTACGAGAGGCAAAGGCTGCATCCCACGTGCTGCAGACTGTGTGGAGCTACAAGGAGCTGCGTGGTGCCCTGCAGAGGGATGGCTGGACCAAGGCACGCTTCCAGGTGTGGCCTGCACAGCCTTTCCTTTCTCACTTTGCCAGGCTGGGTCCCCTGCTGGATTGCCCCTGACCCCCACCCCTCTCTGTTTTGCTCTCTCCCTCCAGTCGGCTGCTGCTAATGCCAAGGGGCCCAAGGGAGCACTGAGTCCCGGAGGTTTTGATGACAGCACACTGCCGCTGGTGGACAAGAGCCTCGGTGAGTACTGGGCAGGGTTGGGGTGTGTGGGAACCCATCCCTGAAGTTCGAGAGTAGCCCTTCCACCCGGTACATTTATGGTGACAAGTCTGGTGAGGCGTGGAGGAGGGAGGCTGGCCTTGTTACAGGAAAATGGCCTCAGGGTGGCCCCTTTCCCTGTTTGCATCTTCTACTTCCTATTCACTCCTGGTGTCAACATTGGTGCCAAGTTGCAGCGGGGAGGGGGTTGCCAGCGGGCAGTGGCCCAGAAGAAGGGTGCAAAGATGTTAGTGATGAAGGGTTCCCAGGGTCTCTGAGACCAGCCCTGCCATGGGTTTATCTGCCCTGGTCTCCCCGCTGATGCTTGCAACCAGCCAGCCACTTGCTTGTGCCTTGCAGATGGTGAGAAGCCAAGCAGCCGGGATGTGATCCCCATGGAGGCCCTTGGCCCAGGTGAGTGCAGGTATTTCCTGTGTGGGAGGGGTCCTGAAATGGGCCAGGTGGTTTCGCTGTGTCTGCTGGTGGGAAGGCCTTCCCAGGAGGCACTGGTTGGAAAAGAGAGATCTGGTTTTGGTTTTAGGGGTACTCAGGGAGTAATGGGGTGGGGCAGCCAGAGAGAGGTCAGTGCCCAGCTAGCGTCTCTGGTCTGTCAGCTGAAGGGAGGCTGAAGGGTCCTGAGCTGCCGAAGGGGAGCCGGAAAGCCGCTGCAAGGCCTGAGCCACTTGAGGCAGGGGATGGTGAGAGTGGGGGGAGGGGCTCTGAGACCTGTCCTAGGCGTCCAGGATGGTGCCGGGCAGGGCAGGTGGGTGCCCTCTCCAGATGCATCCTGTCCCAGGGGCCCTGTCTGGACTGAGGGAGTTCTGCTCCTGTGGTGCCTGCCCCTCAGAATTCCCCTTGTGCCCCCACAGACGGATACTCCACGATGGACCAGAGGGAGTGGAGGGCTCGAGGCAGCACCCCCGCAGGGGACACCTCTGAGAAGGAACTTTTGAAAGTGAGTGTCTTTGGGCAGGTGCCCAGGGAGGTGGCATATGTAGTAGCTGCCTGGAGAGGGGCTCAGGCAAGATGGACCCTGGGGTTAACCTGAAGTGGGGCCCACCTGTAGGGCAGCTGGGCTGGGAGACAGCCTAGGGAATGGCCCCTCTACCTTGGGAACCTCACATCAGAGTCAGTCTGTGGGTGCAGCCGGTTAGAAGCTCACATTCACTGAGAGGGAGGGGCACATGACAGAGGGCACTGCCTGGCATAGTGCACAGGACCCCTGGAGTCTGAGCAAGTGTGTCTGCACTCTACTCTGCATGTGTGTGCGTGGGCAAGAGCCCATCACTTTCCCACCTCCAGGGTAGCACCTGCCACCTGCTCTGTGCCAATCCCTGGCTTTGAGCAGAGGCCTCAGTGCATCCACTCGTCACTCTGCATCTGTGTGAGCCACACTAGCTCAGCTCCCCTCCCCCTCCACCCACCCCTCCTAGGTACCAGCATGGGCCCCGCCCCACTGACCAGACCAGCCCCCACAGTCATCTCTGACTAACCTACTCTGTTCTGCCTCTAACACCCTCCTGCTCACCGCCCATCTGCTGCAGCCTGACCCCAGCAGGAAGGCTCCTCCTCCAGGGCCCAGCAGGCCCGCGGTCAGGCTGGTGGACGCTGTGGGGGACGCTAAGCCTCAACCCGTTGACTCCTGGGTCTAGCTTGCATGCCTGGTATGTTCTCTCCTCTGGTTGGTTGTCCAACTGTTTCCCATTCACTGGGCAGGGGCTTTTTGTTCATCTCTGCTGGCTGCACGCTGTTTGCCCTGAGTGCTCCCTGGTGGGACTCCTGGCCGCTCCACCACCTTAAGCCCAGCCCCCTGAATGCCCATCTTAGGGAAGGACAAGCCAAGTCAGGTCCCTGAGAAGATGGGACCAGAGCAGGGATGGCCCCCCCACACACACACCTTCAAATACCCCAAGCACACAGCTTCCCTAGACCAGTTGGGATTGGCCCTGGTGGTGAGACCCCCAGGGTAGTCCCACACCACCCACAGCAGCTGTCTTTGTGTACATCTCCATCCGCCTAGTCTGTGGAAGCAGCCCTCAGTCCTTAGGCCACCCTGCTCAGCCTTCCCCTCTTCTTCCTTAGGTCCTGGGCCCAGCCTTTCATTCTTAGGAATCTGATCTTGGGAAGAGGGGAACTCCAGGGCCGGCATACACAGACCCTGCTGTGGAGCTTGGAGCCCCCTGGTGGCAGGGATTGGCAGCGCCTCTGCTCTGGAGCCAAGGCTGGAATTGCGGGACATGCTTCCCTTCCCACCCCCTCGCTCCCTCCCTCCTAACTCCCTAGGCAGAGTTAGCTGTTTACTGACATGGTGCTGTGTGCATGGTGCTGTGTGCAAGTGAGAGAGAAGGCTGGTGGGCTGCAGGGCAGGGCCCAGGGAGGCAGCAGGAGGGGGCCTGGCTTTGCTTTGGGGTCCAAGGAATAGGAGAGTGTGGCCCTGTATGTGTAGTGCCCCAGAAGAGCTAGGCAGCTGGCTAGGGCGCGGGGCTCAGAAGGAGTTTGACTCGAGGGTGGAGGCGATCCTCTGGGTTCCAACCAGTGGGTTGCTCTAGGGGGGCTGACTGTGCAGAGAACTGGAGAAGTGAGGTGGAGTTAGGCTGTTCTTGCCCCCACTCTGCCCTTGGATGCGTGGAACCCCAGTGAGTAGGAGCCTTCCTAAGTGACACTGGTCCTGGCACAGCTTCTGCAGCCTGTCTGCCAGAGCCCCGGGGACTGACATCTCTGGGACTGACCCTCAGCAGCAGTGGGGGACTGCTGTTCAGTGCCTGCTGTTTGTGACTTCAAAACAGAAGAAAAACACTGACAAAAGCATTAAAAACAAACCAAAATAAGACTGTATTGGTAAACACGTACATTTTTGTAAGAAAATTTAAAAATTAAAAAAAGCAACAAAGGAACCTCTTTCATGGTTCAGACCTCTCGCCACAAGCTCCTCTCTGTTTGCCAGGTGGGGAGTGAGGGGAGGTGGCCTCAGGTGTCCAGCAGGACCTCAGCTCAGGCCCCATGGGTGTGTCCCACACACATTCTCCCAGATTCACTGCTGTTCCCTTTCTACATACAAAAAGGAATGGGTGTGCTCCTGGGTGGTTAGCTGGGCCAAGCCCTGTAGTGGTGTCTTGGCCAGATGCCTCTCTGGGCAGAGGTGGGCTCATCCAGGACAGGGTGATCCCCGGGGAGCCTCTGAGGTGACTAAAGGTCCAAGTACTCTGGGGGTTGGGATTGGAGGGACAGGGTCGGACTGGAGGCAGCTATGGATTTAGTGGATACAAACTGACTCTGTCTCATCATTCACCAGCTGTGCAGCCTGGTCTGAGCCCACTGTCTGTCTCTTCCATAAACAAGGCTGAGTGGGACTGGTGAGGTGCTTCCACTTAGTGCCACACAGGGGCCCTGAGGGGTCAGGTGCTGGAGAGACCATGCCTAGCACTGCTGCAGTAGAGTCCCCCATTCCCCCACACCTGCTTGGTCAGAGGGAGGTGAGAAGGGTGGCCAGCTGCCCTGTTCTGGTTTCCCAGGTAAGACAGCCTCTAGATGGTGGCTTAGCCCAGCCTGCAGCTATCCCAATGGGGCTGTGACATGTGGCGTTGGCCTGGCCCCTGGAGGAGCAGTGTTGGGGCTGGGAAGCCCCTTAGACATATGGGCAACATTAGCATCCAGTCGAGGGGAGTGCTGTGCTTGGTGCCAAGGTGGAGGGCACCAGGGGAAAGGAGTAGTGCAGGGATTGAAAAGAAACACAGAGGTTGACCTCATATCTAAACACTTATTTAGATCTTTAATCATTATTTCAGCATCTTTTAATCCTATTAGTATATAAAATCATTAACAGCCAATTTTATTGAGTTGCATTTCATTCTTAAAAGGAGATAAAAGAACCCAGAGGAATTACAGGTATGATGTGTTGTTGGTCAGAGTGCCATCACCAAGGTATTGCTGCCACTTGGTGACAGCAAAGCTCGAGGACAGACTGAGTGCATAGCCTGAGTTTCCAGATGTTCCCAACTTCCCCCCCGTTTCCTGTGTCCAAGAACCAGTCCATGTAAGAAACCCTACTGGAAGCTGGTGGGGTGAGTGACACTGTCATGGGCACCACCTACCCTGATTTGGGATTTACAGACACTTTCCAGATATTTTGCATAGTGAGCAGGTTGTTCTTGGGGTGGGTCAGTGTGTGGAGCCTTGTGCAGAGAGCTGGCCTTGGCCTTGCAGGCCTCAAGTGTGCTGCATTAAGGACAGAGCCCAGAAGTGCAGAAGCGGAGTTGGCAGCAGCATATCCATCATGCCCTTCTTAACCAGGCTTGGCAAGTGACCCAGAGCTGGGAAGGCAGTCAAGGCTGTGCTGGGCTGCCCGGGCCCATGTAGACAGCCTTCTCCAGGCCATCCACCACCTGTGAGTATTCCAGGTAGGAGGAGAAGTGTGTGCATTCAAAGCGGCTGCTCCCACGCACGTATGCCAGAAACTCGGGTGCTCCTGGGAAGATGACGTTGTCAGCCAGCAACACTGTACCCTTTCGTAACAGGCCACACTCCTGCAGGGGACAAGACAGTTGGAAGGGGTGAGGGTCAGGGGTGCCCAATGAACCTGCTCCAAACCAGCAGGACAGGTACACCTGGCCAGGTAGAGACTCCATATGCTGGCCTGACCCCAGAGTTAGCCCCCACCCGCCTCCCATTGCTGTAAAGGGCTGTGCTGAGTGCAGGTCGCACCTCTAGGTCAGCTCCATGAGGAAGGATCTTTTTCTTCTCCATTCCCTCCTGCATCCTTGGTCCCTAGAACTGTGTAGCAGGGGCTCACTAAATGCTAGCTAGAGGAGTGAAGGTCGTGATGGAGCGAGGATTCAGGTTACAGTGCTAAGGCCAGTGTGTTCCTCATCACCCAGTGCCAAGAAAATGTGGCTTCTCCAGGTGGCAGAAATGCCTGGTGCCCCTGGGGATGGTCACTGGAGGGGCAGTCTGGTCTGACCAAGATGACCCTGCAGTGCTGGAGGGGCAGATCTCCCCACCCACAAGCCTGCCCCACAAGGATTCGCTTTTGACATCCCCAAGCCCCAACATTTGACATTCCCCATTCCATCAAGATCTGGGCCCTAAGCTGGCATTCCCAGGGCTGGGTTCTGCAGAAGGAAGGAGCAGCTGGACACAGCCAAGGTCCTCCCACATTCACAGTCTCTGAGCTGAGGGAGGAGCTTCTTAGACTACATGAAATAATAGAATGAGAAGCCTTAAGAGATGTTTACCTTGGGGGAGAGGTAGACTAGGGCAAGGGTCTTCCAAGTTGCCTTGTCACCTGGATTTTACTTTGGAAGCACAGAACCTTTTTTCTACATAATTATAACAGTTTAAAAGGAAAACAGCAATCCCAAACATGGAAAAGGAAGTCAAACAAGTGACCCCAGGTGTGTTTGAAATTGCCAGGAGCACCACACACACATGGGGCATCTCCTTGTGACTGAAAATTAGGCTGTACCTCTGCACCCCTCCAGGGCTGTGCCCTAGGACAGAGTCTTCCTGGGGTCTCAGCCCTCCTGGTGGTGGCTGTGGTTACCTCCAGCCTGTGGGCTGTGAGGGAAGTTGAGGACCCTCCAGCCAGAGCTTCAGAAAACACACAACTGTGAGGTCAGCAAGGCTGGGCAACCCATGAGACAGAATTTGAACAGAAAGTATCATTAGGAATCATGAAGTGTTTTTCTTTAAAAAAAAAAAATGAGAAAAGAACTTTCTAGCAATATTGTCTAAAAAGAACAGAGAGCAGTGTGGGAGGAGGTGCCCTGGCCCAGGCCCCAGCAGCGCAGCTCCCATCTGGGGCAGGAAGTGCACAAGGTGAGCTGGCAGCAGGGGCTCCAGCCTCGAAGGGTCGCGCTGAAGGACTCGGCACAGTGGGCCACAGATGGGACCATCAGTGGATTGAGCGATTCTACACACTAAAAACCATGCAACGTCTAGTCCCTGGATCCCCTCCCTTCCCACCACCAGCACCTGTGGCCTCCCTGAGGTTCCGGACATCTGCACCACCCCCTCACAGCCATCCCTCCCCACTCCTCGTGCCCAACAGGGATCTTTCCTGAAGACAGGTCTAAGCTCACCCTCATGTGCTTAGAGCCCTTGTGCCCCCACCTATGTGGCATTTAAGGCCCTCCACACAGAGCCCTGGCACTCTGCCCCAAATCAGCCCACTCCTGGAACATTGTGTCCTTTCACACCCACCAGAACCACTGGGTTCGAGGTGCTGCCCAGTCTTAAGCCATGGCTCCTGTGGCCATGCCTCCTGAGCTCACAGCCCCTCTGCACTGGGCAGAGTGTCCGCCCGAGGAGGAGCTGAGGTGGGGGAGCATGGAACAGATCATGTGGGACGGCCCCAGGCTGGCCCTCAGGCAGGGAGGCTGGGGTGGGACAGTGTGTCCCAAGCCCTCCTTGCGGACCAAGGAGCTTCTAAGTGTCCTCTTGACTGCCCAGGAGGGCCAAGGTAGTGGTTATCAATATTAACATCCATGTGTCAGTTCATTACAGGCCCCAAGCTCCACCCTTCTGACAAGGCAACCCCACTGGTCACCATTTGGTGCTGGCTGAGCAGGTAGCACTGAGGGCTGGGATGGTCTGGGGGAGGGGGCGTGGGGTTTGTACAATAAGGAGCCTCGAGAAGGGCAGGAGATGCTGATTTCCCTAACCAGCACCAGCCGTCCGGTTGGGAAAGCCAGCACAGCTGCCAGGCTGGTCCCTTCTGCCTCCTCTGCACTGTGCTCTTTTGGATAAGACCATCTGGTCCATGGGCTCATCCCACCCTGCTGGCCCAGCACAGGCTGCCCAGAACCCATTTCCTCCAGTCTCCATCCTGCCCCAGGGCCTCCTCTAGTTCTCTGTGCTCCCTGACCTTGGGCAGGCCAGCAAGAGACAACTGTGGCCCCCAGGGTCACCCTCGGCAGGGCTTAGCTGGAGCACCTGACTCTTCAGAGAGGGGGAGGCCCACTGACGGGGCAGCCCCTGTGCCAGCAGCCAGCCCATCCCAGACAGGCAGCTGCATAGCTCACCTCCAGGAGGAGTGTGTCTGGCAGGTACCGGTCCTTCCAGTGGTCGAGAAAGATCATGTCCAGCGTGTCCACATCATATTTCTTCTTCAGCTGGGGGATAACGTCCTGGGATGCCCCGACGACAACTGTTACCTGGAATAGTGCTCTGTCAGTGCCTGTGCCCACGGGGGTCAGAGACCACCCCACCTGGACACCCAGGCAAGTGTCCACTGACAGTTTCTCTGGGATTCTAGGGAGGTTTCCTGCTCTGTGGAACTAGGCAGTAAGAACCTCACAGAGCTGCTGGGGGTTCTGTGAAACCTGGCCCAGGAGGCTCAGAGGGCCTGGCTGCAGCAGGATAAATGTGGCCTTGAACCATGCAGGGCAGGCCCCAGGTCCCCTCCCACCCACCACACCTGGCCCATCAGTGTCCACATCTGTCACTAGGGAAGGTGTCACACCCTGTCCTGCAGGCCTGCGAAGTCCAGCATCTGTTGGGTGATGGCAGCAAAGTCGGGATTGAACTCGATGGTGAGGAGGCGGGCGCTGGGCGGCAGCAGGCGGGCCATCCTCACAGCCGAGTAGCCGCAGTAAGCACCCAGCTCCAGCAACACCGAGGGTTGTTGTTCCCGCACCACTGCATCCACGATCTGGCCTTCAGGGGTGGGAGAAGGGGTGAGTGCAGGCAGGAGACCCACTCAGTCCTGGGTCTGTTCCTTCTGACTAAGGAACAGCCCCTCCCAATGCCTAGCCCCCAGCCCTACCCCAAGGCCATGGTTTCTCTGTACATACCCCGCAAGCTCCCATGGTAACTTAGGCCTCTGTGCCTTTTCACACGCTGGTCTCTCTTTCTATGGTCCATGGCTGACTCCTACGGGTCCTAACCTAGGGCTGTGGAAGCCGCCACCCCTCCCTGTCCATGGGCCACACTCAGGGCCTGCCTGGCTCCCTCAAGCTGGACACTGAAGGGCTCTGAGGGAGCTGTCAGTTTGTGCTTAGGGCTGGACTTCAGGGAGTGCAGCGCTCCAAGGCCAGGAGGCAGCCCATGTCTGTCCTCAGGGCTGGACTTCAGGGTGTGCAGCGCTCCAAGGCCAGGGGGCAGCCCATGTCTGTCCTCAGGGCTGGACTTCAGGGTGTGCAGCGCTCCAAGGCCAGGGGGCAGCCCATGTCTGTCCTCAGGGCTGGACTTCAGGGTGTGCAGCACTCCAAGGCCAGGGGGTAGCCCATGTCTGTCCTCAGGGCTGGACTTCAGGGTGTGCAGCGCTCCAAGGCCAGGGGGCAGCCCATGTCTGTCCTCAGGGCTGGACTTCAGGGTGTGCAGCACTCCAAGGCCAGGGGGTAGCCCATGTCTGTCCTCAGGGCTGGACTTCAGGGTGTGCAGCGCTCCAAGGCCAGGAGGCAGCCCAGGGAAGGGCCCAGTGCCTGGGCTAGGCAGTCTACAGAGCTCTTTGCACCCTCATGCCTGGCAGGGACACCCAGGGGCCCACTGCCCCCTGCACCAGCCCTGGCTCTGAGGGATGGTGTATGAGTACGGGACCTGCATGGAGCCACTGCTGTCCCCTCTAATATTGTCTGTTGGTGTGTGGCAGAAGGAGGGGGACCCTAAACAATGGCCTCCTGGGTGGTTTATCAAATGTCCCTCCCTCCCTACAGGGACAGTGATGTGGGTGTTGGGGTCTCTGCACAGCCTTCACCCGTGGCTGGGCAGGTGGCTCGGGCCCCCACAGCACCAGATGAGGCCCAAGCCCAACACCCAGAAATGGGGTGATAACAGGCCTCTCCTGCATGGGCTGTGCTGCCAGTAGGTCCCCATTCCTACTGGCCATGACACCTACCTTTCTTGTCTCCCACGTTCATGGCCCACTCCTTCTGTGAGCAGTAGGCATCGATGGTCTCCATCACGCTCTGTGGGTCCCCGGCCACTGCATGCTGCAGCACATAACGCAGGATGCGCCGCTCCTTTCTGTCACCCGTGAGCATGTTGTAGATGGGCTGCAAGATGAACTCGTTCCAGCAGATAAAAAACATGCCATAGCGTCGCAAGAAGAGCAGCAACACTAGGCACAATGAGAAGGCTGCCAACAGCAGGAATGGGGCCTCCAGCATCTGAGAGAGGGGAGGGGAGGGGGAGAGGAGGGAAAGGCATGGGCGACGGAGCAGCCAGCTTTAGTGCTTTGTGGCTGGCCAGGCAGTCCTGAAGACAGCTGGGGGTGGGGGGCTCAAAGCCCCCAAGTTAGTGCAGACCTACCCTCCTGGCTCGCTCACTTTCTCCTCAGTTTTTTGGTGCTACATTGTCCCCTTTGTGCTGATGGGGGCCTAAGGTTCAAGAGGTCAACCAAGTACCCCAGTGCCAGGGGAGCACAGGCCCAACCCCACTGCAAAGAGCTTCTGGCTGGGGCTGAATCCTCATGCAAATGGAGCAGGTGTGTGTCTGACATTCCTGCCTGGGGGCCTACTAGTCATAGTCCCCTGTCTGGGCCCTTTCCAGACAGCCTGGGCCCATCCTCTGCCCTGACCAAGGGGGGCAACAGCTGGCCTGAGGCGAGAATACATGACAGGGAAGGTCTCGCCCCATGTGCAACCCATGTGGGTGCCCACTCAGGATAGTCCAGGATTCTCATGTCCTTTAAGTGAGTTTCCAATTAAGGACATAGGCAGTCCCCAGGCCAGGCACAGGGGGCGAGTCTCTCTCTTGACAAGGAAGATCAGCCCTGCCACCTGCACCACAGTGTAAGCAAGATGTGCCAGCTGCATCAGCTGCTACAAGTGTGGCATGATCTCCCTCTGACTCGCCACTCAGGCAGGTAGGTCAGGAGCCAGTCACATGGAGCGAGCCAGGGCCCCTGAAGACAGAGCAAGGCTGAGTTAGCTCAGAGAAGACTTCGAAATGTTCAGGGCGCACGCTCAGATTTCAGGCTACAGCCCTTAATATGTTAAAGGATGAAAGAAAGAGGAATGTGGGAAGCTTCCACCAGGTCCATGGTCACTCACAAGAAAGGTCTTCGGAATCCTGGCAGCCACACAGGACCCTGCTTTCCAAGAAGCTCCCAACGAATGGGCTTGGGGGACAGAGCAGAGAATGAATATGAAAACTGAGACTCCGCCCACGAGAGTGTGGACTTGTGGATCTCTAGTTCTCTCAGGCCATGTGGCCTATTTACACAAGGCTGAATGGACACATGCTCAGCAGGTCCAAGTCTGCACACCCAAAGGGCCTGAATCCTTGTTCCACAGCCCTGCTCCCAGTACCACCCTGACCTTCAGGGCAGATTTCCCAGCCAGCCTTTGCCCACTGTGCTAGTGTTCCAAGTTCAGCAGCAAAGCAGACAACTTTGTGGAGTTCTTTTGCCTTGAGATAATCATCAATGGAAACTGTAACCTGAAAATGACCAGGGTCCAGATATCCAGACCCAATCTTGAAGGCCAGCCTTGCCCTTTACCTTTCCGTCCTCGGGGGAAAGAGCACAGAAGGCCTCAAAGAAGCAGTGGCAGTCAGGGAGACAAGGCCAGTCTCTCTAGTCCTTGCTGGCCCTGCCGCCTTACGAGGGCACATGCACCAATGCCTGATGAAAAGCAGGAGAAATCAATGAACCGCTTTGCTCAAGCCCTATTTCCCAGGAAAGCAATTATCAATTTGGAAGTGACATATGTAGGGTAATTGGGAACATGGGCCCCTTCCCATGCCCCACCCTGTGGGAAGACAATGAAGGCCATCAATAAGCGGACTGAGAGACTTTGGGAGCCTGACCAGCTCCTCCGCCAAGAAAACAACTAGCAGTTTTGATCTTACAGGCCCACCGCCCCCACACACCCAGACCTTGTTTCTCTGTTTTCAGTACTCTATAACACCTGGTGCTGGGAAAGTCTGAGTGGCAACAAAATAGCACTGACCAGCTACCCGCAGTGTAACCCTCCCGCATGGCCCAGGCCGGATGGGACTTAAGGTTCAACTTCACCTGTCAGGTCGCCACCAGTGCGCATGCAAGTCCTAATAAACCCGTGTCTTTCACAGCCAGTCCTCTGGGCTATTTCTTTAGGAATCCGAGAACAATATGCTGAGGTTTTCTGGGACCTCAGCACTTTCCATAACAACATATAAGACCAAGGGCTAGTTACAAAGAGCATATAATAATCAGTGAGGAAGACATTAAGAGAAAAATGGGCCAAGGCAGCAAGTACAGAAGAAGGCCTGAAGTCCATAGCAGGCACAGGAAACCAAGGGCAGGTCTTGGCACCAGAGGGGGGTGGACCCTCACCAGCCTGACAGACTGTGAGTCAGGCATCTTTCTGTGGAAGATGCCTGGACCCCCACTGGGCAAGGGCACCCATCGGGCAGGACATACCATGCAGGTGAGGGGATCACACAGCAAGAGGGCATGGTAGATAAGGACAGAGCCTCTCTTCTAGGGCACAGATGACAGGAAACAGTGGCAGGAGACCTGTTCCACCTAAATGTCCAGAACTTTTCTATGTGCTCCTGTCTGTGTGCTTAGTATTTCCCAAACACACACCTATGTTGTGTTACTTGTTACTAATTTTACTAGTAGTGTGTTTGGGCACTGAGGTACTGGGCCATTTTGTTTTATTTTCTATATTGAAAACAACCTAGTAAATGTTAGAAATAAATATCTAAATCAAGGAGGAATATTCTGCTTAAATAGTGAATTACTTGATGGACTCTGGGGTCGTGACCTGTACATTTCAATCCCCATAATACTTGAATTGTGTAAGAATCTGGCTTTTAAATCCTTATCTCCAGCTCTGTCTATTCATCATTCCTCAGAAGGGTACAGGGAGGGGCCCCACCTACGGGGCAGCCTGCAGCCCCTTGCCTTTTCTGCAAGGAGCATGTGGCATGCCTGACAGGAAGGGCAGCTCCAAACAGGGCAGAAGGGACCCCCCTGTGCAGGGACTGTCATGCTTTCCTGCGGTCCATCATGCCCACCTCCCACTGGCCCTTCCAGGGCCCTCTTGGGCCAGGAGCATGAGGCCTAGAGAGACAAAGTTCTACTTCCCATCCCCATGCAGTGCCCACCTCATCTGGTCCTCTAGCAACCCCAGAGGGACTGAACCCCAGAAAGAGGGACTGGCTGCCCCTTGCCACCAGCTGAGTATCAGTCACTGGCTACAATGGACACCTCCCCTTCTAACACCGAAGCCCCACTGGACATCCCTGACTGCAGAGCCACACTGTTCCCAAACCTTCCTGCTCTGCATTGCCTAGCTGTGCTGGGAAGAGGCCACACCCACCCAGCTGTGGGGGGCAGAACACGTACAGATCTGCCCAGAGCTTTGTAGAACAAAAGGGGCAGAGGTTTGAAAAACTAAGTCGTGCCATTAAGAAAAAACAAACACACAGACACTGCAGAGGAAGCCATTCAGAGCTTACCATTCAGACCTGGGATTTTACCCTATGTGAGTGAGTCCTTTGTGAGGAAATAAAACATGGGGAGCTCCCCTTGTTTTGGGTCCTGGGACCTGAGTGCCTGCTGCTCTGCCCTTGGCAAGCACTGAGGATGAGGTCACCCAGTGTTCCCCGGAGATGGCCTTAATCAGACTCCTATGATCCCAGTCCTGCTCTGGCTCCAAGCCCTGGGTGGGGGTGAAGAGTCTCAGTTACCTTACAGAGATACAAATGGAAAGGGTGATTCTGGGGGCTGGCTTCAAAACCCCTGTGAGGGGTGGTTACAGAAGGACAAAGGCAACTCGGCCACTGGCCAGGAGATGAGAGCATGGAAGCCAAGGGGCACTCTCAGATCCTCTCTGCTTTGGTACATGTTCAAAACATGTCATAACAAGTGTTTAAGTGGACTGCCTAGCTAAACTTGTCAAATGTGGTTTCTTGACCACAGTGAGGGGAGGAGGCCAAGCTGTGGTGCAAGTGGCCTGTATCTCCTGTCCTGCCTGGCTTTTGGTGTCAGGGCAGGGGGCAGTACCGGAGAAAGCTGCTCAAGGAATTCTAGGTTTGGCTAAGGAGGCTGGGCCTTTATGAGGCCTCCACAGATGACACATTTAGTATCATGAGAGCATGAAAGAAACTGAGACACAAATAAATGGAAAAACAGCCCATGTTCATGGACTGGAAGACTTGATATTGTTAAGCTGTCCATAATACCCAGAGTCACCTACAATTCAATGCAATCCCTATAAAAATTCCAACAGCATTTTTTGCAGAAATCGAAAAATTCATGCTAAAAGTCATGTGGAATCTCAAGGGATCTAAAATGGCCAAAACAGTTTTGAAAAAGAACAAAGTTGGAAGACACACTTTCTGACTTCAAAACTAACCACAAAGCTATAGCAATTAAGACAGCTTAGTACCAGCAAAAGACAGACAGACCAATGGAACAGAACTGAGCGGCCAGAAATACATCTTCATGTCTATGACCAAATGATTTTTTTTTTAATCCTTACCCGAGGATATTTTTCTATTTATCTTCAGATAGAGTGGGAGAGAGGGAGAGAGAGACAGAGAAATATCTATGTGAGAGGGACACATTGATGGGTTGTCTCCCGTGTGACCCTGACCAGGGCCGGGACGAACTGCCACCGAGGTACGTGCCCTTGACCGGGATCGAACCTGAGACTCACTGGTCCGCAGGCCAACGCTCTAACTGCTGAGCCAAACCGGCCAGGGTTCAAATGATTTTTTTAAAACCAGAGTGCCAGGAACACTCAATGGTAAAGAACATTTTCTTCAACAAATGGTTCTGGGACTAGATTACTACCAGCAAAAGAATGAAGTTGAACTCTTACCTCACATCATACACAAAAAATAACGCAAAACCAATCAAAGGCTTTAAGAGCTTAAACCAGTTATTTTCAACCAGTGTGCTGCAAGAATTTTTAAAACACGCACTACCTGACTATTTAGTCTGGGGCACCAAGCTCTTTTCCCTTTAGTCTGTCAAATAAAACAATGACAACAGTCAACACAACAGCAGCCATCCGGTGTGATGAATCAAAATTATACCCGTTCTTTTGTCAGATCAACAAAAAGGATATGTATTTTTGGTCTGCCACAGAATTTTAGTAATTAGTTTATGTGTGCTATGAGATGAAAAAGGTTGAAAATAGCTGGCTTAAACTATAAAACTCTTAAAAGAAAATGTACGAGTAAATCTTCAGGACCCTGAATCTGGCAATAGATTCTTAAATATGACACCAAAAGCACAGGCAACAAAAGACAATAAAACCAAATTTTATTAAAATTAAAAACTTTTATGTATCATAGGATCTTATCAAGAAAGCCAAAGGACAACCCACATAATGGGAGAAAATGTTTGCAAATTATGTATCTGATGAGGTTTGAATATTCTGAATATATAATAAACTCCTACAATGCAACAACAAAATGACCAAAAAAAGAAAAAGAAAAGAAAATGGTCAAAGGGCCCTTGCTGGTATGGCTCAGTTGGTTGAGCATTGACCCATGCATGGAAAGCTTGCCAGCTCAGCTCCCTGTCAGGGTACATGCCCAGGCTGTGGGCTTGTTCCCAGGTAGGGGGTGTGCAGGAGGCAGTCAATCAATGTTTTGTTCTCACATTGCTGTTTCTCTCTCCCTTCCTATCTTTCTAAAAATCAATAAAAAAATGGGCAAAGGACTTGAGTATTTCTCCAAAGATACACAAATGACCAATAAGTACATGAAAAGATGCTCAAACATCATTAATTATTAGGGTCATGCAAATCAAAACCACAATGAGATACCATTTCACACCCATTAGGGTGGATATTTAAAAAAAAAAAAAAAGAGGAAAATAACAATTGGTGAGGATGTGGAGAAAATTGGAACCACCATGCATTGCCGACAGCAATGAAAAGTGGTACAACTGCTATGGAAAACAGTTTGATGGTTCTTCAAAAAGTTAAATATAGGATTATCATATGACCCAGCAATTCCACTCCTAGGTGTATACCCAAAATAACTGAAAGCAGGGACTTGAATGGATACTTGTACACCCATATTTCTAGCAGCATTATATACAATACCCAAAGTGTACAAACAACACAAGTGTCCATCAATTGATGAATGGATAACAAAATATGGTCTATCCATACAATGGAATATTAATTGGTTACTAAAATGAATGAAGCACTGATATATGCTACTACATGGATGAACTTGAAGATATTATGCTGAGTGAAATAAGCCAGACACAAAAGGATAAATACTGTATGATTGCATTTATATGAAATATCTAGAATAGGCAGATCCATAAGGACAGAAAGTAGAATAGAGGTTACCCGGGGCTCGGGGACAGTGGAATTACTCCTGAATGGGTACAAAGTTTCTGTTTGGGATGATGACAAAGTTCGGGAAACAGTGATAATTAATGGTTATACAATGCCACTGAATTATACTTAGAAATGTTAACATGAAAAAATTAACATTGGTGAAGTTTAACTGTGTGTCAAGCTGGATGTGGCAAAGCACTTTTGTCACAAAGGAGTATGGAGCTAAAGGTCCAGGGGTTGATGGCTCTGGGTGTCAGTGGTCATCTGCCTGCCCCCTACCTCCTCCTAAGGCTGGCCAGGGGCTTTGCCCAGGTACCAACTCTCT